GGCTTCAAACTATGATCCTATACTGTTGGAATATTACTTATCACAGAAAGCTACACCTGATTTCTTCTAGCAGACCCAATCCTCTTGGTTCGTGTGGACAAAGTAGCTCATCCCGGCTATTTGCACCATGCTACCATAGTCTCCCTAGATTCCCAAGCCTCGCAAGCAGACCTTCCTGTCCCACGAACGTTGGGTAGGATTGTAGGACGAGCCAAAAGAAAGTGAAGGCTATAGGCTCTCGCGATGATGCAAGGAAGGTCGAGTATTATATTCCCCTATCCTGGTCGCCCAGGGTAAGTCTGCGGAGGAGAGTGACTGAGGGGCTGTATGTTCGAAAAGTTGACTAACGCCCCCGGGACTAACGCTTTCACCCTGCTTCTTCTTATTCGCTTGATAGTGATTTCCTGTTGTTAAACGTTTGAACAACAGGGCCCTAAGTATTGTGTTTCGTCTTGCACTAAAAACCCATAAACCTTATAAATTTCACTATGGGACTTCAACACCTCCCTTGAATGATCCATTTCGCTAAACGGGACCTCAAAACAACGATTCTGTGTATCCTAAGGGAGTGTATACTATACTTTCCTGGCTCTCGTCACTCACAGTGAGGTGATGGTGGCTTACACAGTCCAACCTCCATGTGCGACTGCCAATCCAAAAGACCAAATTTTCCCAGTCAAAGCCTTACAGTTGGAACTTCCAGTAAACGACCACCTTCTGTAAGTGACTGCGACCACTTTTTGGGCGTCACGGTTAATTGTTTTCCATAAGCGACCAGTTGACGCATTCTCTGCTCTCTATTTTTGCTGTGTGCACTATGTTCCTTAGAAAATATGAAGACCTTTAGCGACATCGTGGAACTACACATATCCTAACTTAGTAGATGTAGCCAACAAAGTGAAGATTATGTTGTGATTCTAGACTATTCTATATCTCACTCACCTGAATCCCTCTTTAAATTGAGCATGATTTAAAAGCTGTATTTGTCAAAAGAGGTAAAAGATAATATTTTGCCAGGAATTTGTTACACCGCCATTTAATAGAATGTGCCTGGACCTCTTCTCGGAATAGACCCCATGTGGTCCGATTCTTCTAAACGACCACCTCCCGTTAGGGACCACTAAGTCTTTGCATTTTTGGTGGTCGCTTACTGGAGGTACGACTGTATTACTTTGACCTATCAGAGGCTTACCGATAATAAAGGGGATCTGGAAGGGGGCATGGATGCGACAATCACATGCAGGTCGCTTACTTAAAATAGTAGACATCTAACTGACAATCAAAGTTTGTGCTTATTATTGGGGTTATCTGGTGTTTACTCACCTCCCAAGCTACCCTGGGCGAGCCAACTTTTCCTCCATTTCCTTACAAAACTTGGTAAACCATTTACATGAGAAACAAAAGGTTGGTTCGGATAGACGCCTTACTACCAGTAGTGGGCGGAGTTGAGGGCTTCCGGAAGTCAGCCCTCCACTGAGCCGGTAGTGGTGGCCTCACCCTTCCAGCCCGGCTAATATTTCTCCACTTTGGCTCGCCCAGCTACAATCGGCGACAAAATGAGTTGAGACACTTCGCCCAAAAGTAGGCTTTTTTACGTTTTATGAACTTCAAAAGGAGGAAATATAGCTTTCCTCCCCCATCCCCTCCGTACAATGTTGTGCCCTTGTTCTAGCTACCTATAGAAAACAACAAACACCCCAACTTTGAATGGAGGGGACAGGGGAGGGTGCGGATTCGTTTGTTCTCCGAAGTCACCCTATTTGTCTCAACAATTTTGTCGCCGATTGTAGTTGGGACAACACGGTCAAGGCTAGACAAAGACAGCATGCGCAAGCACTGTTGACTCGGACAAAGTGGTCAGTTTTTTCCTCATATAAACGCTCGCAAAAGTTGGCTCGGCTGGGAGGTTGACCTTCTCTCCGGCACAGCTTTTCTCCATCCATGGGTTCCAAACAGTCTTTTAGCAGTCACGTTTGAAATTTATAGGAAAATGATGTAGCACTTCAAAAAATAATAATAATAAAAATACACTTTTTTCACAGCCTGTCAATGCCTAGAAGGTGTCTATAAAAGAAATCAACTGCAGAACAGGAGTCAATTTCAGTTTTTTGCGCTTTTCACGCTAGCACTGCGAAGCGGACTGGGGGCGCGAGACACGCGCGATGCATGGGGAACAAGTTCTGCAGGCTATAAAAGAAATTAAAAAATAAATAAATAAATAAAGCAGGCCTGATTTTATTTCGATGAGTCTATTTTTTGTCGAAAGCAAACGTGAAAAATCGTATTAAAATTCGTGACAGTATGCTAACGTGACTTGAGGGTGTGACCGATTTCCGGTCACACGCCAAAGGTCATACGATCTTGTGTGATGTTTATTATCAGCCGGCGAACGATTGAAGTGATGAAAGGTTTTCAAAATCGAAGTCATTAGTTTGCGATGAATTTTCAATCTTTTGGCCTCCTGACTGAAGTAAAAACTCTTGCAACTCTTGCTTCTAAAGGACCGCAGTGACGTGTTGTGACTTCATTTCGATTCACGGCCGGATTCTGGCGCAGTCGCTGAGCAAACGTGCGTTTGTCTTTTGGACCTTTTGGCTTAAAATTATGGATTTTGTGACTCAAACCGACGCAACAGAAGTTGGAAATAACTTTCCTTGCCGTAAAAACGTGTTACAAGCAATGGTGAGTAATCCTTTCATGTAAAACCTTTCTTTTAGTTTGACAACCGTCCGCAAGCCGTCTAATTTGCATAAATTTCCCAATTCAATTGCTCTCACCGCTTGCTTTGGTGTCAGGATGATATTTGATTTCCAGAGCTAAAACTTTCCAGTAAGTTAGTACAAAAGCCAAGGTTCCATTTTATATTGATTTTATGATCAAGCGGCATATACCAGAGGCCTTTTTTAATAGTCAAAGTTGGCCTTCGTTTTCTAGCATGTCTAACGTCACAAATATGACCTCTTTAGACTTGTCGATTATAAAAATATAAGACATTGTTTTTCAATTTTTCTTCTAAGGTTTTCAAGAGTAAGAACAAAATAATAATTCGGTGAAGTTTCAGTGTCAGGGAATGTTTCTTACGCGTTCACCCTTCTCTCGAAGTTGCCATTGCATCCTGCCGTGTTTTGTTCGAAAAACAGGAATAAAATCGATTTTTTAAACTTTTTTTAATTTCTCCTTTAAAATGAATCGTTTGAACCCAAAACTATTTTTCCTTAAATTAGGTCACTAAAAGGGATGTTTTGGCAAAATAATAAAAAATTCGATTTTTTGACGAGTGTCTTGCGATTCTCGATTTTCTCAGAAAATGGCTCTTAATGTTTTTACTTTTTGGTAGCCCAACTACAGATTAACCTCCAGAAACCGTGATTATTAGGATGATTATTGTTTTGATCATCATCATCCATCATCTTCTTCTTTATCATTATCGTCATTGCAGTCATTGCCTACGTCATCATCATCAACAACTCAGCATCTTGATGATCAGCGATACAATAAAAGACGTTAAGAATGAAAAAGAGCTACAAGTCCGGGACAAAAAAAACTGCCCTTTTTAGTTTTATTGGTTCATAATTTAAGCTGGTAAAAACTGGAATAACTTGAAAGAGTTGACGTTATTTATTATTATCAGGGGCGTAACCAGCCCACAGACCTGTAGGCCAGGGCCTACAAATTTTGATTTGATCACTCTACCGCTTGTAATAAATTATGCGTTTTTGGGGTGAGCTAAAAAGCTTAAAGTTGATGTTACACGAGACCATTCGAAACGACGATTTTTAGCGCAACACAGCGTTGCGACATTGTTGCGACATTGTTTAGAATTGTTACAACATTGCAACGCTGTGTTACCCAAAGAATCGTCGTTGCGAATCGTCTCGTGTAACACAGCTGTGTCTTTGAAGTCAAACGTAGCAAAAATTTACCTGTCATTGCGGGTAACTTTTGCCTTGCCTTCCATGTCGATTCTATTATTCCAAAAAAAAAAAAGGTTCTGCATTTCAGATCTCCTCAGAATATTAGTATGGTTGCTATGCTACTTTCATTGTTCCCTAACATTAAAAATTTTGATCTTTGATATATAGATATATATCAGTTTACAGAAGTTAAACATGTTCGAATAGCAGAATTTTTTTCATTAGGGTTTCCTGGAAAATCAACCCATTTTGTACTTTACATTAGGATAAATTCATCTAATTAGTGGGTGAAAGGATGCCCGTGATGGGAGGTTGGAGGACATTATCAGGACAAATTGTTTAAAATTCATTTGGTCAGGGGAAGTGTACTGACACCCTTCAAAAATAATTATAATATTATTATAGGAGATGGCACAATTTAGCTGTTATTAAGCAAATGCCATCACTTATTAGCCTGCAGTCATCCACTGCCTCACCAATTTCCAAATAGGGTGAACACGACACCTACACAACTTTGCGTACGCTGCCTTAATAATAGCAACCTCAGTTCAATCCCATACCCTTTTTAAAGCCAGGGCACTTGGTTCTAGTTTACTCCAACCAAAAGGAGATTGAGTATATCTCATTACATTATTACAGCTGCTGCTGAAACCCACCCTCTCCAGTTACACAATTTACTATTTCTCTCCCTCTCTCCCATCTCTAACATTTTAGGGGCCTCTTCCCCCAAACTTCGCGAGGTTCTGCAATACACGTATTTCTGGTTATCATTATTGTTGTTATCAGTGGATTTATTTCACAGACTGAAAAGCACTTTGCACTAATGACATCACAAATCTCTGGTCCCTTCTTTGACTCAGACATCGAACTGGATTTTGTATGGGAAAGTCACGTTCGAATACGGCTAAGGATACGGTTATAATGTCCAACAAAAGCTTGAAAGTTTTTTTGGTTCATAATCTATATCCAGTAAAATGAAAGGAGTAAAATAGTGGTGTTTTGCTTAATACTTAATCTTTTTAGAGTTTATGACCAATCCGAATAGAACAAGCTTAATGGTGGCTTTAGGTAAAGGCGAGAAATGGTCTACAATTGAGCAGTTGTTTCAGAATCTCTCTGAGAAGAGTAGGGAATGCCTTTTTTCAATCGTCTGAGCTTGTAATAACAAATCACTGTCAATGTTATCGATGCAAGTATTAATGTTGAGCCCGCCAATATCAAAATTGATATCCACTTATGATTGTTATGCCGGGGCTGTGAAAGAGTTGCACCAGAAGCTGAAACTGAAAACAGAAAAAGAAGTAAGTATATAAAGTAAACTGTACTGGAATAATTTTCCCCATTCTATGATGGGTTCTACTAGAGTTTTTGCTAATGCAAGTCATTTATATAATTATCGCTTACGATAAGAAACACCAGAATCCTAAAAGTGTGTCTTACCCCACCTAACGAATATTGGCAGTTCACTGACTATTCAGTGAGTCTAGATATTAACTTTTAATTATAACTTAAACAAGTACGTGCTTACGTCTGGAACATACAGCTAGAAGGTCGAATAGACAAAAATAAACTGAAATGTTCCAGCTTGTCTTGTCCAGGATCACTAACTGTATACAATTCAGTTGCGGATCCAGACCTACAGATAAACGGGGGAGGGGGTGAGGGGGCGGTCTCAAAAAAAAAAAATTCCGTTTGGTCTAAAAATAAGGGGGCGGCCCCTGGATCCGCCACTAGAACCCTGGTCACTAGATGAGTACTAGATCTCCCTACCTGTTGCTTGTGTTAGTTTATCTCCATCCTCAACTTGAACAAAAATCTTCATTCTATCCTCCCCAGCAGTACTGTGAGCTTTGCATAAGTACAATCCACCGTCTTTTTTGTTCACTCGATTTACAACTAAGGTATGATTTCTAAAAACTCTTCCAGACCGTGCCCACGTGACCTGAGGAGGAGGAAGTCCAGTCGCCCTGCAGTTCAACACCAGTTTATCTCCAGCCCTCAGGGAAGTGTTTCTTTCCAGGGAAATGACAATTTTTGGTGGATCTACCAGTAGTAAATGCATACATGAAACATTGTCAATAACAATAAATAAATAATCCATAAAAACACTTCTCACAAGTGTTTGTACAACGAAAAGAGGCCCTGCAGTTCAAGTCGTACTTTAAAACAACTTTCTCCCTGCCTTCCTACAAAAAAGTCTTGAAATGAAAGAGGAAATCTCTAACAACGCTGTAACTATTCTTTTATATTTAATTTATATGCTTCTGATAAAACAGAGTTTCTGCTCTTTTATATTTAGTATGATATTATAACATTTATCATGACTAAATTGATGATAAATTATAGTTAATAATATTATATTAACATTATTTAAAAATATGTTATTACCCTCTAAGCGAAGCGCAACGACATCTTTTAATGGGTTCCGTGCCAAGCCAAGCTCAACGTGAAGACCATAATCGTTCTCATCCCCTGTGCTTAAATTATGAACCGTAAATGCGACTTGCAGACGAGACATGTTAAATGTGCAGCTTATTTTGTTCTCGTAGTTTTGTCGAGTCATAATTTTGCCATGCTTGTCGATAACCATGAGTTTTGTCTGCAGATACCCTGGTGCTTTCCACAACCCGAAAGCCACATCTTCTACACTCTCGATCCAAGTCCTTCCGGGGAGGAGTTTGAAAGTCCACTCAAATGTTATGTTTCCATGCTTTTTCCCAATCACGAGATGGCTCGGTCCTGAAACAATCCTCGGACGCTGTTGCTGGTGTGACGCTGGCCAGTTAAAAATAAGTAAACGACAGCTCAATAATCAGCTTAGTTAGTCTAAGTTACATGTAATTGAGCAGATCAACCCACCCGACCCACACCTATCCGCCCAATTACCCGAACCTCACAAACGCGGTTGAATTATTAGTTTACATTCGGGATAAGTAATCCGCGTCAAAACATTCAATCCAGTCAGTAACACTCTTACGGTAATACCGTTACCGTGAGGAAATGTTTAAGCCACACACACAAGTGTCGTCAGTGTTGAAATTAACACTGCCTCTCTCACAGCCCTCCAGAAATTTAGGAAATTTGAAATGAAAGTTGTTAATTTACAGACTTCATATCAAAATCAAGTAGTAGCGATGACTTCTAATGACCTTTTTTAATCAGGTGCCCCTTTCCCGGCGCCTTCAAGTTATTCTCCCTTTACATTTGTTAGCAAATTTAATTTGATTCTTGGACTCCTCCACCGGTGCTTAAAAAGCTTTCGGTGATGAAAGCAGTTTTACATTCAGCTGTAGAGATCTGCATCCTCCCTTCTATTTTTGTTGAAACGTATATGTCGCACTGTGCAGCTTATTGGGCCGCTAACTGTCAGGCCCCAGTTGCTCAAAACTCGGTAACGCACCTCCAACTGGGTAATATGGTGGATAATGCATTGGTTTCCTTTACCGTTTATCTGCTGGATAGTGATTTATCCGATGGATATATAGCGCTATCCAGCAACGAGGTCTGATTTTTACATTGTCCTCTCATCCAGATTTCCACATTCTAAGATTCCTTATTTTTCCCTCGAGGCCAATTTGCTGTGCACGGGTCAAATATGTCACTAATAATAGTTTTCCTGGAAAAACGGGAAGTACTTGAGGAGTGTAAACAAATGCTGTTATTATTATAACCGAGATACGAAAACGAAAGATCCATAAGGGACGGACCATTAGAAAAGTTATGGGGAGGGTGGGGAATTTTTGAGCCGCAGGAATTTTTCGTTATCAAATTCCTTGTAGGAATTTTTTTTAGGCCGTAGCATGAATATTTCTTAGGGTTAATTGGCGTGCATGAATTTTTTTTCATTTTATTTTGCCTTGCGCGAATTTTTTTTTTTGGACTTCGCCCTCCCCCCCCCCCCCCATAAGTTTTCTAATGGTCCATCCCTAATCCCTTGGTATTGAAATCGTTAATGTGCAATTCTGAGAAATGACGATGTTTACCATAATTTATTCCTAGAATTTTGTAAGTATGAAAATGCAGTGTTTTTAGAAGTTGTTAACCTAGAACAACTTTATGCGATTCTTGGACGTAGATTCAGCTAGATAAATTATAAATCATCTTTCAGGGAGTTTCTAATCTCTTGTGTAGAATCTATTTTGCCAATTTGTCGGTTCTTGAAGCAAAGACGATATCAGAGGACCTCACAGCCCAAGCGTGCAATGTAAATGCATGGGATTTTAAGGTTACTTATAAAAGGCTTACGCGATTCAAGGAAAGTTAACTATGTCTCGTGAATACCACTCTAGCTTGCACGCCAAACCAATCTCGCTCTCATCGTTTTGTAATTAGTTTTAGGTGAAATCGGTTTTCGCATATGCATTTTTCGTTTTATAATTAATTAACGTTGAATTCATGAGTCGGCTGAAACGAGTTTTCTGAGAATTCTGAATCTTAGAATGCCATTAAGCTATGGTATCAAGGAAGTACACTTGTAGGCGTTCTGTAGTTATATATTTTAAGAAATGCTAGCATAAAATGATTGGTACTTTCTCCTGCCGCTCGTGCGCTACTTTTGATTATCCTCGATTCTAAAAATACGTAAGTTTAGCCGTAAGGGCTTCTCCCCAATAAACGACACAGGATAAGGCAGGAGATTAAAAACACCGATTTATATCAAAATTTTATTTAACTTACCTGCTATGCAAAGGTTCATAATAACATAAAGTAAAAACATCGTGGATGTGTTCGTTGAAGATTCTTTTTAAGCGGAAGCTGTCTTCTAAGAAACTTGATTTTGCATTCGCGAGTTATTAAAGCTTTGATAAGATAGACAACCATCAGTGGAGAGAATATAATTATATTTTGAACCGGTAAGTCCACCTGATATGCACCAATACTTTGTAAGCTCTTATGGCATCGTTTTCCTGCAAACTTTCCGAGAAAAGGTTTATTTATGAGAAACCTCATGTTCAAAACAAGTAAGGATACCTGCCATGCTAACATTAATTATAAACCAATCAACGCACGCTTTAAGGGAACCAATAGAAGTCGTCGGAAAATTTTGAAAACGAAACCTAAGGAAAGCGTTAAAAATTACTACGGACGGGTTCGCTCCTTCCCCAGGAAAAGAAAAGGGAATTTTTTTTAGAAACATGCTGCGGCTGACGAGAATATTCATTTGCTTTTTAGTTATTGATAGATCACCGTCGCAGTCAGTTACTAAAGAAACATTAAAATCGAAAGAACAAAACTTTGTTAACAAAGAACTACCTCGTGTTCTATGGTTTTATTGTTCCGTTCCGGGCACTTCATGAAGCGGATTGAGTATTGCAGACCGATGTTACGGCACGGAGTAAAGTTATATTGATTTAGCCATTCTCCTTTTTGCTACCCTCCTTTTTCCCGGCTTCCGTGCTCCACGTCATCCGTTCTGGGGCCCGTTTCTCGAAAGTCCCGATTATTAACGGGCCCGGTAAGCTGTCTCCGTTTACATTAAAGATCGAAGTTTCAATAGTTTTGCATCTAACGTGATAAAACTATCAGTTAATGAAACAAAATGGAGTAGTCTGCTTGCCAGGACCCACCCTCTTATTCTTTATATTTCGATTTGAATATTTGATTTCGGGCCCGAAAAGTTACTGGGACTTTCCAGAAATGGGTCCCTGGCCCGTCATTGCAGAGGCCTGGAAAATCTTTAAGGCACTATTTTATAAATTCCGTCTTCTCGGATTATTCAGTTTACGTGTCAATTAAATTTTTTTTTATTTTATTTCTTCAGACAGTCACCTTTGATTCCAGCTCATGAGTGGTAAACAATCCAATCCCTCTTTCATTTTCCTGCAAAAGGCGCGATGATAAAGGCCCCCAGCGAATTGTTCCTTTTAGGAAGTGTGTGTCTGGTAGTTTTACTTATCGATAAAGAAATACAAGCTTCAAGTTTTACACTTCTGGCAGTCGGCTATTCGCTAGAAGGCATCGAATGAATTACAAAAATAAATAATATACTGCGTAACTTACCTGAAATGCATAAGTTCAAAATAGCATAAAGTAAGAGAAGCATCGTCGAAGTGTTTGTTGAAAGTTTTATAGCTACAGCTGTCTATTGATAATTTAAACGAGTTAGTCATATAAAAGCAGTGGCGGCAATTGTATCCTTCAATAAGTCCTCCTTATGTGTACCAGTGCCTTCAATCGCAACTGTGAGCATCGTTTCACTTGTCAAGAAAACAACTTATCAACGCTTCAGTGAAACTTCGCGAGGACGTCAATCAAATCGCTTTTCCGAGAAAACCTCCTATAGATCACTGTCACGCAACAAATTGGAAACCGTCTAGTGGAAGAAGCCGAGAAAATGAAATGTTACAAAAGACTAATTTATAAACAATTTGTTCAAGTCTCAGGTCTTTGTGGTCCACAGTTTCCGAGTTATTTGCCGAAACGTTGCACGCACCTTTATAGACAGCTGTATAGAGCTTTGCATTGAGACGCCATATTGGTGCACCGTTTTGGTGCACCAGTATGGCCGGCGGAAACCAACAAAAACTTCTGGAGATCACTTTTTTTATAAAAGCTCTTTTTTTCACTCGAGAACTAGAACACGTGCGCACAAACATATCTTCTAATATTTGGAATGGTTATACCGCTGAAAATCAAGAGGAGAGACTTTTTTTCAACGAGACAGCATTTCTATTTTGGTCTTACGCACTGTGAAAACTCGGAAGTTCAAATTGCTGTATTTTCAACATGAAGCATGCTACGGGAATGGAAACTTGTACAAAGATTTATGTTTTGTTTATCTTCAACCTAGTTTAAATAAGAACTCGTAAACCTAGCTACCCTTAGTACTCTGGATGACGCGGAGAAGAAGGCCAATATTAGTTGGCTAACAAAGCTATCTGCACAACTTTAGACGTCATTTATATACTACCACTACCGGAGTTTTTCAGTGTTCTTCTTTCTTATGGTCATTAGGGGTTTGCGGCTTGCAGGGATTGCCAAATTGAAATATGATAGGAAAAACAAATCGATCCGGGTAATTAAAAGTGACGCCATAAGGTCATTGCTTATAACTCATCCAGTTTCACCCTATCTTCCCCCAGAGAAATACAACAAGTTTTAACCAAAGGAGAAGAAAAGAGGGGCAAAACTTGTTACACTCAAGCATATTTCATCAAGGATGCATACTTTCATATTTTTTTTTTTTTTAAGAAAACAGGAAGTATTTATTTAAGTTTTTCCATTTTTAGTTAAGGTCAATTAGGTCGTTTTCCTCGAATCGAAGAATCGTATATGGCTTCAAGCGATTCTTCAATAACTTTTTGAAAAGTCTACAAGAATTCTAGAGCCCCATTTCAGCAGCTACAAATCTTCTTCATCTTTGTAAAGCTTTTTTGGCACTTATTAGAGCTTTTGAGAACGCAAACGTCTAGTAAGGGAGGTAATATAGGCCGGCGGCCTTAACCATCCTCGCCGGCGTATTTATTCCGCCTTTCAGAATCATCTACCAGACCTTTAGAGGTTACCGTTCAATCAACATAAGCCTTGTGAAGACGACCCTAGTAGGGTGGCACAACTTTCAGTAAGTTGTACCGCTGATGATGCACACTAAATGAGTTGAAAATGAGTTCAATGCATATCTTGAGTAGCACTATCGCTTGCTGAGCTACAACAAGCTTAAACATCATTGGTTGCAGAAACTGAAACACTTGAGAATGGCATATTATGACTCGGAAATTTTCTTCCCGAGACTAAAAAGTTAAGTCTCATTAATATAATAAACAATTTATGAAAAAGCGAGCAGTTAAATAATTAGTACGCATTATGCCTATAGTGTTGGAAAATCCGACTTGCCTTGGGCACAAAAAATGCAGTGTCAAAAGTTCACTTGGTATAAGTTTCCAATTGGATAAGTAAAAGGAACCCTGGCCCTTTCCAAGAAATGTTTTCGATCGTTCGAAAGCCCTTCTGATCGACTGAACGGTGCTTTTGAGCGGAGCATCAAAATACGAATGTTGTTTACGGCTTTTCTCGCTATGTATGGCCACCGTTGGTGAATAACGCTAGTTATGTTGCATTAGTATACAGATTCTTCTTACATATCTCACTCTCCCTCCGTTGGTAAGAATCTTCTGTCCTTCTTCAATCGCATACCTGATATGAAAATGCAGTGCAAATCTGCTAAGGATGTTTTAGTCGGCCTTTCTTTTCTTCTTGCAATGGAGAGAATGTTTACGTCAGGTAAGAACTTGGATTAAAAGCTAGACCATTTCACCAAGGGATGTTTTCCTAGTTTGAGAATCACTCCATGAATTGCCAATATTACGACTTTAGTCACCCATTCTGCAGGTTTTATCTTTTGATTATTTATATACATTTAGCTGTGTGAAATAAAATGACAGTAAAATTCTAATTGGGCAAAACGTTTTGATAAACTTGAGGATAGAAAGGAAGCTACTCCCATTTTGTATATGCATGCACTGATTTGAACTTAATGGATGTCTTTATCATATCAGTAGCAGACGAAATTTAATACATGCATTCAACGTTTGCTAAAATAATAATTACGTCAATAACTTAATTGACTATTATCTTAAACTCTTTTGCACGTTACTTCGTACTTGCTATTATGATCAACTATTTCCTGTTTTTCCTTTTATATCCGGGATCGATCTTTTCCACCCGCAAAGAGAGAGACCGTTCCTGGAAACACAGAGTTCTGTTGCGTCGTCATCATCATCATCACAACCACCAACACCTGACTACCACCACCATCACCATCATCATTATCATCATTATCATCATTATCATAACACTTTTCTTATCGGGATTGAGACGACAATATTTTTATTTACCGCATTTATTCGGCTATGAGCCAAGCTAAAGTTATGTGAAATTTGAGCTCTAGACGAGGGTCTCGGCTTAAAGCCAAGTGTTTTCGTCCAAAAATATTTTTCAAATCATTGAAACTCTACTAAATGGGTATGTGTTCACTTAAGCTGAGCAAAGTGCAGCAAAAGATCGAACCGACCGCTTAACTACGAATCTGAATTCTAACACTAACCGAAAAACAAGTAAAGCGGTGGACTAAAAAATGTTAAATAAATCAGAACGTTGTCATAGTCGTTACTCTATAAGCCATACAACTAGACAAATATATATATAAAAAAACGTTTGAATGTGGAATATGATCTTCGACCAATACGCTAACAAGAGCACCGATTATTACGAGATTGGTTTTCTGTTGTTGGGTGGGTTTGATCTCTTTTGACCTCACTTTTTCCTAGAAACTAGCCAGGCGTAAAATTCTTGGAAACTGGTATAAATCGTAACAAACTTCCTAAGAGTTGCAACCTGTCCTTATCGTGGATTTCGAGCTCCATTCTGTGAAATCTGAAGAAAACGGTTTCGGTAGTTCCCATTCTCGAGACTAGCGTATCCGCGTCTCTTAGACTGCATCAACCGTTCGTGGGAAGAGGTTTAGTCTTTCCAAAGATTCCAGTCCGTGTTTGCACTTCAAAGTTATGCAGCGTTTATTTACTCCATACCTAAAGGAGTTTCGTCAATGGTACTCATCAGCTTTAGACGAAACATTTCTCGAATAACTGCTAATTGAAAACTAAATAACGTCTGACAATGGGATTCTGGCATAGTTTCACCATAATTGCTTTTCTTGCACTAAGTAGCCGTTACTCAGCGATATCAGGTAGGTCTTGACACAATGAAACTTTGTTCTATGTCGTTTATATGTGCCTTAGGGCAATTGCGCTTTCACTTTTTTCAAATCTGCGGCTAGAAGCTTATAGATTTTCTTAAATATATTGTTCTAGCAGACTATTCATATTTTTGCCGTCTGGCATGAGGTAGAAGTATATTCTTTTTTACTTGTCTAGTCAGAAAATACGTCAGGTTTGAGAGTAATATCCATATCTCACCAACAATTTAGTGTGCTGATCACTGTCATAGCTTCTATGACTAACACGGCAGCCTTTTTAGTTTCTATTCATTGTAAATCACTTGGTCAAATTCTCTGGTCACCTGACCACTCACTTAGAGAGTTTCCTTCTTTTCTTGCATCCTTAAGGCGAATTAAGAAAAAAGTGCAGGGCATGTGGTAACACTGACTTCCGCGGAAGGTCAATTCAGGCATTTCCAAAAAAGGAGAGGCAAACGGTTTGAAACGAGGGAATTAACATTGAACTGTTTCTATTTCTATTTTTATTGTATAATCATTTACCTGTATATTGACTAGTATTAAGTAGTAATAGTTGGCACTACAGCTGCCCCCGCTCTGTATATTGTCGGTCGATAGTATTCTTGCTCGTTGTGTAGCTCTTTGAAATATACCGGTTCATATAACGAAGATTTTCACACATATTCCATACAATAGGTGAGATAAATACAGGAAACGCAAGTCTCAGTTGGACTACACAACTTTGATAAAAACATTCTCAGTTTCGAGAATAGTTTATTCCAAACCATAAGAAAAGGTTTAATTAGAAGTTGAATTTTTCGCCATTTCTCTTTCACTTTTTACATTCAGTTCATTTTATTTGCCGGAAAGTAAGCCTTAGAAATTAAAAGGACGTTTGATCAATTCACGCTCTCGCATTCTAGTCAGTATTTTAAACATTATACCGGAAGGGCGTCTGTGAGCAGGGACTAAGTCAGCACAGAATTTGATTGTCTGCGAATTTCTGTAATCGTCCATCGTTCTGCTAGTGATAAGCTAGCCGTTGTTCACTCGTCTTGCTTGTTTGGGGCTGAGTCTTATTCCGGGCAAAGAGAGAGAAAGAGTGTCTGGCAAGTTTTCCAATCAAAGATTTGTGAACTCGTGTCTGGCAAACTCTCCAAGTGTTTATATACACAGTTATACGAACCTTCTAAATTCATCTGCGCTTAACGAGTGTCTTTTGGTCCATAACTTTAAAAACAACGGCTCCACAGCATGTCACTGATAACACGTAACGCAAAATGAATAAATGTCACAAAATCTAAGTAAGCGCGGTCCCTTCGGGATTTTTTGTCTTTACGTTATCCTAACCATTTCTCGACATTTCGTAC